GAAAAAAAAAAAAAAAGAAAAAAAAAAAAAAGAAGATGATGATTATATTCCTTCCAGACAACTAACAATACCGGCGGAGACTGCTTACATTCACAATCTATCTCACAATCTAAAAACTAAATGGCGGCTTCGGCTCATTTTGAAGTGCCAGTGGTGTTTTCAGCGCCACACAAGCTGTCTGATATATGTTCAAAAATAAACAACGAAAAGGGAGAGGGTAAAGTGTGTCAAAAGAAACATGCTAAGCAATACGTGGAGTGTGCAACGTCAGTGCACATATACCAAAGAGTTGCGAGAAATCGTATGTGGGCCGAACGGGGCGTTGCGTAAGTGAGAGGGCCAGGGAACATGCCTGGTCAGTGAAACATTCCCCGTCGGGCAATCTTGCGTTGCACTGTGATAGGTGCCAATGTGGCCCGGAGTTGGAAAAAAAACGACAGTTCTGGGCAAATACGCAAACAAAAGAGCGCGAGAATACATGAGGCATTCCGCATAAGAGAGCAAGGGGAGAGTCTGTGTATTAGTGCGCCGTCACTGCACTTAACAGATAAAGAGTTTTTCTTTTGAGCCAACACCCAGATCGACGGTACTAATAGTCAATGTCTGTTTCAATAAACCTTCAGTTGAGACTGCGCTTCGTCTCTGTCTCCTTCTTCGTCCTTGTTTATTCGGCGCTCTCCATTCAAAGGTTCTACAGCTCGCGTATGATATTTATATACCCTTTTGTTAGGCTTTCTAAGTCTTTGAGATAATGTTGAGATATATATTTTTTTTTCTACCATATATAGGGTGTCCCAAGTCACCAGGATCGATCTAAAATGGACCGTAAAAATCGGCGCCTGCATGTAGCAATCTACACTTTTCGTCAAAGGTGTATTTCACAGGTCGGTGTTTTCTCGTAAAATTACAAAGCGGAGCTGTCTGTAAAAAATAGGGCCAAGAAACTTTCCAGGGTCAACGGCGGGTGCACCGACGCAGACGACCAAGTCGAGTAGCGGGGCGGGTTTGGCGCTCGTATTGATAGATGGCGCTACCTCCTTAACGAGACTGCTTGCGACCACCATGGTTTATTCAAATAAACACAATCCTTTTGTAATGTACCTTTGGTTAAAAAATAAATGTGGACAATGAAAGCAAAACTTCAAGGGAAAAAAAAAAAACGCGTTTGCTTAACGACGGCGCTTTTGCTCTACTTTCTGTCATTGGTCGGCTACACCTTCGGACTCTGCTCCAAACGCCATCTATCAATACGCGCGCAAAACGCACCCCGCAACTGGAGTTGGTCGTCTGCATCGCCGCCCGCTGTTGAGCGTGGCAAGTTTCTTGGCCTTATTTTTTACACAAAGAAAGGTGCGCTTTGTAATTTTACAAAAAAGAAAAAAAGAAAACAAAAACGACCTGTGAAATACAGCTTTGACGAAAAGTTTAGATTGCTACGTACAAGCGTAGATTTTTACGGTCCATTTTAGATCAAGCTTGGTGACTTGGGACACTCTATATTTTGAACATAAACGATATTTGCATAAGATAAAGAAAAATAGGCTACCCGACTCAAGTGCTATAATATATTTACCCCCCACCCCCTCAGAAAAAAAAAAAAAGAACAATAAACATGCGTTGCCAGTGTCGTTGGAACAGCGGAGGGGTAGATGCAGACATTTTTTTCCCAATGCACGTCGTCGACACACCTGCCTCCCCTCCCCCCTCTCCCACCACTTTCCGTCGCCCCTTCCTGTCCGAAACACTTCCGACCCCTCTCCCCTTAGTACTTTCTAATAAACCCTGCAGTAAAGCCAACTTGCGAAACTACCCTTTTGCCGATTCCAGTGCCTGCATGTGTGCTTGAGCACTTCTACACACACAAAAAAAAAAAGAAGGGGCGGGGGAATTTTGATTATGTGCACTGAATGTTTATTATTATTGGGAACAATATAAAGGGGGGAAAGAATAAAAAAAATGGCCTTTTTAATGATGCGGGAGGGGAGGCAGTTGGAGTTTAATTTTGGCTAAATTTTCTTTTTTGACGAGATTAAAAAGATTATATAAATTATTAATAAATTAAACTAGAGTGATACCAGTCGATGGCTCATGTATAGGCCTACAGACACATATTATGCAATACGCAGCATGTATAATTAATCTTAAGACAAAAGGCTCCAAATATGTCACCTAAACGTCAAAAATACGATGTTTGGATTTTTTTTTTTTTTTTGAGAGGGGGGGGGGGGGGCAATAATGATACCGAAGTTGTTTAGTTTAAAGAAACAGATAGGTCATTCGATATACATTCCCAAGAAAAATTACTGTGAGTATTTTCGTTTTTACCTTTTTATAACAAAGGACAGAACCGGGCACAAAACTCATGCAGCCTAAAAGTAGTATTTCCCCTTCCTAGCCACTTCAAAATTCTTGCAAATAAAAATAATAATAAAAACATTTTAACTTGTTTTTTTTATTGCAGGGATAGTGCTATAACATTTAGTTTTAATGGAATTAAAAATACCCACCCCTGCAGGAGTGTTCGATTTCACATGAAACCTATTAACTTGGGAGCACTGGATCTTCGGCAAAAGTGCGGAAGACCCGCGTGCTTTTCCTTTACATTTATTGTTTGAGATATTATAAAATGGAAAATTCTCACGCTATCGCTTTTCAATTTTTTCTTCCGAGTTGGTGTGGTCATCAACGAGAGATATCTCTAAACGAACGCACACTCACCTCTCTCAGCGTGTAACCACGCGCTTGTGTGCGCGCGCACGTTGCAGGAGAGCGGCCATAACCAGAAACGAGGCAGCTCGGGAATAAAAAAAAAAAAAATGCTTCAGTAGGAGGAGGAGGAGGAGGAGGAGAACACTTTATCGCAGTTTGCCCCCCCCCCCCCCCCTTTCCCCCCTTGAGAACCATGGCACAAATATAATTTTGTAAGTATTTCTCTTTTACTATTTCCTCCAAAACGTTCAAAGTTCGATAAAGAAACAGCTCAATTATATTAATATATGACTGTGTTAAGATTTGTTTTGGGTACTTGGAGTCTCCGTTAAACCACATAGGTTTAACTATAGTATAGTATAAGCTGGAAAAAAATAACTTGAAAATGAACCTCCTGGAAGCCCTGAGTGGCAGTCGACGTTTTCCTAAGTGACTTCTTTGTCAAGTCTAACTTTAATCTAAGGTGTTAGGCGATAAAAAAAAAAACAAAAAAAAACCTCATTTTCAATGATTTCTGTTTCGTCACTGTTGAACCAAGTATGTCGCAGTACGTTATAATAATTATATATAATTTTATAAATGCACCATGTCATCATACACTCCCCTTCTACAATTCTTTTCAGCAGTTTTTTTTTTTGTTTTTCCGGTGAAGAAAGGACATGTATTGTGACGCGAAGAATTTGAGGCATTTCCAGATTTTAGGTTTACTGGCATTGTTCGTAGCAGCTGCGTCTGATACCGCGCATACATTTGTCTCCGTAAGGTTGCGACAAGTCATACGGTACAATTACGACTGTTCCCTCACGCTGCGTTACTAACGTGTTCAGAGGAGCAACTTGTGGACGGCATCCTACCTTCCCCTAATAAATCTCTTCGTCTCATCGAATTTGTCACTCGTCGCGAACGCCTCTATAGTGAACCGCTGGCTCAAATGCATTGTTTGATCCGCAAGCGGCGATAATATTTATACCACTAAGACGTCAGCTGAACGAACGAGTAAATCCACGCTTTTGGTCAACAATTTTATGTCGGGCGAGTTTTTGGGTATCGCAAAGCCCCTTCGTCACCTCCCCGAAGAGCTCCAAGCGATCCACGGCGGGCTCCAGCGACGACAGCACAGAGCTGCCTTCTATTGACCGTGCTCCGAGGCTCGAGTAAGACTTCAGCTGGCAGCGCCATCTAGGCTCCGGGTTGCAGACCACGGGTCGATCAGCGATGCAGCCCACGGTTGCCAGCGCGGCGCTTCTCTGAGCTTTGCGATCGCGATCAATAAATGGAACGTGTTTCAAATGGGGAACGTCGACTTCCATTTAGACTGAAGCCCGACCGCAATATCGAAACCGCCCCGGTCAAAGCCCGTCGACATTTATTACGTTCTCACGAAAGCCGACAGCAGGAAGGGAAGCCGGTGTCATTGTTCCCTCGGTCCCACTCGTTCTCCGAGGATGCCCGCTGGCGGCTGCCTTGTCTGCATTCTGGCACCCACGAGGTCGAGTTAAAGCATCGAAGTTGATCGAACCCCACCCCAAACCGATCAAACTTCGATGCTGTCATAACATTACTGGAATCCGGGATGGACACTACACAAGGTCATTGACAGCGTCCGACTTTTCACTCGTGACACGGAGCCGCTCGAGGCGGTGTGAACCTTACGCGGAGAGCAAGCCGTCTGCTTTTTACGCAGGACTTGAGGCGACATCAGAACGACACCGAGCTCTGATTGGCTTTGATTCGAGGGATAGTGGGTAGACCTCAATATTAAATGCCTCGAGGTCTACCCATTATTTGTTTTTTTCAACCGGCCAATAAGAGTTCGGTGTTCTGACATCATCGCAACCCCTGTGCAAGAAGACGAACCTGCGCTGCGCATATAGGAGCGGACTGTCAATAAACGTTCGTGTCAACCGAAGGAGAGCGTGCGAGTCCAATATTGGTCCCCTAACGCGTTTTGAAATCGGGCCGCTCAAGCCTGAGCGGTGCTGCGGATATTCTTCCGAGAAGGCTCCTGCCAACAGCCAACGCGCGAAGGCCAGCTTGCCTTTGGGCGCTCTCTCTCGCGCGCAGCGGTCCGTCTACGGCGCGCAGATGGCGGCATTAAAACGAAAGGACAGTAAAAATGAAGGCGCGGAGGAGGAAGCCCACGGATAGCAAGGGGAGAAAGGGGAAGTCCAGGGATGCGCAGCAGAGGTAGAGCCGCGCGTAGCGCCGAGTCCGCCCGGAAGCGGCGCTGAGCAAACGCGTGCTGTCAACAGGAGCCGCGATATTGGCGCGAGGGCAGCGCAGAGGCGAACATGCGCTGGCCGCTGCTGGCTGCGACGCTGCAGCTCCTGACTGCGCTGGGCCTGCCCGAGGATGACAACCCGGCGACCCCCGACTACGTGGAGCTCGAGCTGGGCAGCGAGCCCGCCCGCAACCGGACCCGCTGGGACGCCCGCTTCGTGGACCCCGCCGACGGACGCTTCGTGGCCAAGATCATGGACACGTTCATTCTCAGCAAGGACCTGACCCGCAGCTTCGACTACCGGATCGTCAAGCCCGCCCTCGACATCGCTGTCCGCAAGGTGGGACTGAATGCGAGGAGAGTGCGCGGACCGGGCTCGGGAACACGGCTCGCCGAATTTGGGGTCGAAATTTGAGAAAAACAAAAAGTACTTCGGAGTGGTCACCTGGGCCGCCTGTGGGTACATTCGGTTCTCATGTAAAAGAAATATAGCACCGCCGCGGACAAGAACCAGGCAGACAGACGCGGCGCATCTCGCCCTGTCTCTCTCTCTGGAGTCTGGTCCTGACTTCCGTAGGCGTTGATGCCTTTTGATAAACTAAAAAAAAGCTGCACAAAAGAAAAAAAAACTACGTTGAATTCGGATATGTAGAACAGAAGTACGTATTTGTCTTTTTAAGGTCAAAGATCGATACTGTGTATTTCCGTTTGTTTCTTTTGCTTGTTTGCACGTACCAAGGAGTTCCAATGACCAACACGGTAGAGTTTTCAATCCGGTTGCACCCTGTTCTCATGCTGCTGTACGTACAGATGTCATCATCCTAGGAAAAGACCATGACCTCTGCAGCGCTCCTTCCAAAGGCAACTGGAACTTCTTACAGCGGAAGCTGTTAGTGCACTTTCCCTTCCAAAAATGGTCATGTAGGAACGCAAAACCCGACTCTACAATAGATGCACTGCTCTCCCTCTCCCCGTTGTTCCTCACGACAAGGCTCTCTCCCCCTCCCCCCTTATTTCGCCCCTGAAGGCAGCCGCTGCTCTTGCTCCGGCGACGCTCTCCCTTCCTCCCCTCCCCACTTTTCCGGCAGCCGTCGTTGAGAAATACCCACGTCGTCGCGGGGCGCGGACACGCTCCCTCCCCTCCCCACCGCCGCCGCCCAGGTTACGTTCTCGTGTACAGTCCCCTGCAATATGAAAGACCCATTCGCCTATTCAGTTTATGCGTTGGTGCTAAGCCCGCACATGCAGAAACGAAGACATTGCAAACATTGTAACAGTACACTGACTGAATCAAATCTCCTTCACACGCCTTTCCACAACGGAGCAGCTACCGGTGTCAATCGAAGCATACTTTGTGTGGTCAATTAGAAATTTTTTGGAAAGAGTTTTGCAAATCGGCTAGGTATTCCGGCAAAGCTCTTGACCCGCATCATCCAACCCCCCTGGCAATTGTTTAGATCAGTGGTTCTCAACCGTTGATGTTTCGCGGACCCCTTGTAGGTCGGCGGAGATCATGGAGGACCTCGGTTGTAGTCAGGGGAAGGTAAATGTATAGGTTAAATATGATAATTATTTAATAAATGGATAATTGGGAGCTGTGTGAAGGAGACCTCTCTCATTGACATACATACGAGAAAACTCACCCGAAAATTTGAACTTTTCTTCCCAATTTGAAAAAAAAAGAAAACTTTTATTGCCGGGCTTGACTGATGAGGCAGAGCTTCGCGGACCCCTAGAATGCCTTCGCGAATCCCAAAGGGTCCGTGGAGCCGCATTTGAGAACCACTGGTTTGGATCATCGAGTTAGGAAAGCAGAAATTCATTGATGGTTTTGTTTCTCGCTGGCCTCCTGTAAACGAGTGGGTGTGAAGGGCGGCCGTGTCTACGTATCTCGTGGATGTTCGGTTGTACCTGTCTTCTCCTGGCCACCTTGCTAGGGGAGGGGAACTGATTGGCAGTGGCACAGCTAGTGAGGGGGGGGGGGGGTTATAAGGTTTTCAGCTCCTTCCCCCCCCCCCCCCCCCCCTTTTCCCCGAAATATAGCCGACCATATAATTCTGTCACGGATGGGACTGACGACTCCGCAAATAGGCCGATGAGAAACTGAAGAAACTGAACGTTTAATGTTGTGAACTTGTGCCGAGAAGACAAAAGAGAAAAAGCACTTCTTATGAGTTGTGTATGCGAAAGCATTCTCGGCGCCAAGACGAGCAGAAGCGGCCGCAGCGCCGGCAGGGAAAGCGGTGGTGCCCCGCGCAAACCGCCCACCGTGTATTCCGAGACTTGACAAAGACGGTGGACTTCGTCTACACGCGCCCTCATGAAGGTAGGGCGAGGGTAAGACGGGCCGGGGAAGAAAAAGGACACGGAACGCTAAAGAGAGGTTTCCCCCTCTTCTTTAGCATTCCGTCTGCTTCCTTCTCCCCGGCCCGTCTTATCTTCGCCCTGCCTTCTTGAGTTGCAGCGTCTTCCTTTTTGCACACGTCGCTCCGGCGGTGACATCACACTCTCTCACTGCGCAGGTGCGGCGATACCCGCGGGCTTCACAACGGCTTACGTGACGATGCATATGCGTTGCTGGGCTTTTCTTTATGTTTTATTTATTTCTGGGCGCGGCCGCTTTGACCTCGAGCGGCCTCGCTGGCTTCAGTGACGAAGTATCTGATAAGACGCGTCGCAGCCAATGGAACTTTAGGGGCCGTTTCGCTCAGCCAATATGAAAATGGGAATTTAGATGCAGTTTTTTGCTGTTACCGACGCCGCCGGCTTCGCTGCACTGTACGGCTAACGCTTTCGCATTAATAGTAGGGGTGTCGCAAGCGTAGGAGTCGGCGTAACCGCAAGGGTCGAGCGCTAAAAGGAGACTGACTTCGGCTCGCCACGCTGAGCCCCTTATGTACACTCGTGGGCGTTTGAAACAATCGGCGTAGCAGGTTCGGCGCGTAGAACATTCGGACCTCGAACAAGCAACAGGGTTCTCGAATTTACGAGAACGCGACATTTGCAGAAATAACAAAAACGTTTTCACTCGCTGGCATTGAACGTCGGCCCTTTTGCGCGGGGAGCCAAGCACGATAACCATTCGGCCACGGACGCGCCTGCCCGGAGACGCGCGAGGCAATATACACATGTATTGTGATTCGTGAACGCCCCCTCCGCACCTCAAGTCATGGACATCCCAGCCACTTCCACCCTCTTCCCCCAAAAAAACAACAAAAAACTAATCAATACGTCGCTGTTGACCTGTCATCCATTTACCAGAAAATATTCGCGTCTCCAGTTCGTTGCTCGCCCTCCCGCGGACAAAACGAGAAACGCTCCAGTGAGTTTCCCCATGTTCTCTGGCTTAGCGAGCATGGCGGAACTGCTCGCGATCATGGCTCGTGAAATGTAATTTCCGAATGCAAACAACGCTCTTCACTGTTCCAATGTAATGCTGCAGCCAGCATTAGAGAGTTTTAGTATTGTGTATACATGCAAACGCAAGGGCTGTGCGTTTGTGTAAAGGGTATGTTACACTCCGACGTCGAGTGCAGCGTAGCGCAGCGTAGCGCAGCGTAGCGCAGCGTAGCGCAGCGTAGCGCAGAACGTGGTCCTTTCATTGGCCGGCGAGCAGGAACTCGATATATGCGACCAATCAGTATCGGTGTCCGCTGCGCTATGCCGCGTTTGCTACGTCCAACGTCGAAGTATAGCAGAGTCTTTGGAGTTGCATACTCCACGCTGCGCATGCGCGTCGTCGCCATGCTCCAATCCAAGACCGCAATTTTGGGCTCCGCGCACGCGCGGTGTCGAACACGCGACGCTAACGCGAACACACAGTGCTTGTGTTGGCTCGTATACGCAACACTAAAACTCACTACTGTTTCATCGGTTTCCAACACTGCGGGGTAGACGTTTTTTTTCGAACTGGAAAGGGCCGAGAGTGGTAAAACGACGGCGCGAAAAAATTAAAGAAGCAAGAGGTTCTGAAAATATTGCTAATTAAAAAATACAAAAACGGAATTTTTTTTTTTTGTTTGCGGTGGGAAAGAGGGGGGGGGGGGGGGGGCATTTGTTACGGAAGGATTAGCGGCGACTTTAGAAGTTTTGCCGAGTTTCGAAAGTCACAACTTTGATGGCATTGTATGCTTTACCCGCAATTAATGTAATTTTACTTGAATTTCTCAGACTAGCTAGAATGTTTTTGATTGATTTCAAACTATTTTTGTTTTATACCTTGCTAATTAAAAATGCCGCAATTGGCACCAGTGATGATAACTCGCCTAGCTTTGATTGCCATACTTGTTCGCGTGTTTGAAATTAGATCATAAGCAACAAATTATATTAGAATTTGAAGAACTACGCATTAAAGTATCTTAATTGTATTGTTATTAATAATACAAATTGCGGCAATGTAGGCCTTCATAAACGCCATGATCACAAAAATACGTCATTTAAACACAACAGTCTTTCCAGAATATGCGTCACGTGTCGCTTTAAAACACACACACACACACACACACACACACACACACACACACACACACACACACACGCTCTCTCTCTTCTGCTGTCTGACTCGGATTCCGTCTTTAGATTTTTGGTATTGTGAACAGAGTTTCTTAATTTATACCTTTTGTGAACATATTCTGGACTCATCACCCGTGGTGATATTTTGTAAAATTTGAATGCTTTTATTATTTTTTTCCTGAATATAATGTGAAAGCATTTAATCATCTGAATACCCAAACACTATGACATGACCCGCAATTCATTATTTCACATTACAATTATCTGAACGAGAAAAGGCATCAAGAACAGACACATATCAGCGCTGATTTTTAAACAAATAAATATTCTATGTTACCTCTTGAGTGTATGAATGACCCTGTCTTTAATGGACACTGAACACCAAAATATTTTGAAGTGTCTGGATCGGGCACGTATGCCATAAAATAATATTTCCGCGAACAACACCTTTAACTCAATAGTTACGCTGTGAGCCACATCTTGAGTTTTGAAAGAATCCGAAATTAACACCTATACTGAGAAATTAAATTCAAAATAGAGGTTAGTTTTAGTTTCGTTCCAGAATTAAAACGTGGCTGATGGCGTAAGTATTACGCTAAACATCGTTTTTGCTTTCAGGATAAAGAGGTGACCTGCGCATAACACCCTACCATCCTCGTAAAAAGAGGAATAATTTGTGTCGCTCAGTGAAGCCAACACACTAGACAGGCTCAGCAACTGGTATACCAGCACGCATCCCCGAAGAGCTTGAGTACCTTAGAGCGGCAAACCGGAACCCACGGCCTGCAGCCGAAATGGCACCCCCCCCCCCCCCCCCCCCTTTCAACC